TTTCTCTTATTTTCAACTTGAAAAATATAAACCTACTTTTTAATTATTTTAACTTACAAACTCTATTTAGTTGACAGATAAATACATAGAAATTTTGTAATTACATTGTACAGACAAAATACACAAAGCTTAAATATTTCTAGCATTTTTTTACAGTACATGTAAAGTACTTTTAATATACATTACAATATTTTCTTGTAAAATTTTATCGATCATGTCTTTATTAAATGATTTCTCTTCCAGTGAAGACGTAAATAAATTATTACCAAAACTATTTGTGCATTTTTCGTAACGTCTGGATAGATAGATAGATAGATAGATAGATAGATAGATAGATAGATAGAGATAGATAGATAATGGACATAGATAGATAGATAGATAGATAGATAGATAGATAGATAGATAGATAGATAGATAATGGACATAGATAGATAGATAGATAGATAGATAGATAGATAGATAGATAGATAATGAACACAATGAGATAGATAGATAGATAGATAGATAGATAGATAGATAGATAGATAGATAATGAACACAATGAGATAGATAGATAGATAGATAGATAATGAACACAATGAGATAGATAGATAGATAGATAGATAGATAGATAGATAGATAGATAGATAGTGAACATAATGAGATAGATAGATAGATAGATAGATAGATAGATAGATAGATAGATAAGGAACATGAGATAGATAGATAGATAGATAGATAGATAGATAGATAATGAACATAATGAGATAGATAGATAGATAGATAGATAATGAACATAATGAGATAGATAGATAGATAGATAGATAGATAGATAGATAGATAATGAACATAATGATAGATAGATAGATAGATAGATAGATGGTAGAATTGTATAACGTATCGCAAGATAATGTCAAGTCGATATTAAAAAGCAAACAAAAATAAATAAGTGATAATTTCTTTTTTATTCGGATTTTGTTTAGAATGATAAAGCGAGTTTAACATCTTTTTCCAGTATTTTATTATTACTATTTTAAGCTTTCTTCTTTCAACGTGATGCTGAAAAGTTCTCAGCTTGACCCAGTAGAATATCCTCAGAGCATGAAACTTTCATCGGCATATCCTTCTCGCCACTAGAACTCTCTTCCCGATTCTTGCGCCACTCCCATTTACAATCTTCAAACATTTAATTGCGCGTCGATCGCCATCTTCTGCCTTCCTGGATCCTGTTCTTTTATTGACCTTTCGCATCATGAAATTATTCTCATTCTCTCCCACTCTCTGTAACTCCCTTGCATCTTAGTGGCATTGTGGGCTTGTTTGCGGTAAAATTATTTAAAGAAAATGCGATGTAATATAAATCCTCAGTCCAATCAACGTGAACATTTGCCTCACAGATGAAGAGGAGATTTGAGTTCTATACAAGGATGCTGAGAATACAAAGAAAAGAGTGCTTAACTGCTATGTAATATCAATCCTCCTATATGGCAGTGAATGCTGGACAATCACCTCACAGATGAAGAGGAGACTTGAGGCTACAGAGATGTGGTTCTATAGAAGGATGCTGAGAATACAAAGAAAAGAGTGCTTAACTGCTATGTAATATCCATCCTCCTATATGGCAGTGAATGCTGGACTATTTCCTCACAGATGAAGAGGAGACTTGAGGCTACAGAGATGAGGTTCTATAGAAGGATCCTGAGAATACAAAGAAAAGAGTGCTTAACTGCTATGTAATTATCAATCCTCCTATATGGCATTGGATGCTGGACAATCTCCTCACAGATGAAGAGGAGACTTGAGACTACAGAGATGTGGTTCTATAGAAGGATCCTGAGAATACAAAGAAAAGAGTGCTTAACTGCTATGTAATTATCAATCCTCCTATATGGCATTGGATGATGGACAATCTCCTCACAGATGAAGAGGAGACTTGAGGCTACAGAGATGTGGTTCTATAGAAGGATGCTGAGAATACAAAGAAAAGAGTGCTTAACTGCTATGTAATATCAATCCTCCTATATGGCAGTGAATGATGGACAATCTCCTCACAGATGAAGAGGAGACTTGAGGCTACAGAGATGTGGTTCTATAGAAGGATGCTGAGAATACAAAGAAAAGAGTGCTTAACTGATATGTAATATCAATCCTTGCATATGGCACTGAATTCTAGACAATTTTCTCACAGATGAAGAGACTTGGAAGAACAGAGAAGAATGCTTAGAATACCATGGATTTCACATGCTATCAACAAGGAAGTTTTAAGGAAAATGCAAACAAAAAGCAAGAACTCTTGGGAGCGATAGTAAGGAGACAAATATTGCTTAGCGCTTCAATACTAGGAAGGTGTAGCAAGCCATGACCACTCACGTCTTGTAAAAGGAAGTGTACGGTATCTCTGTAAACATTACTCGACCAGATGCCACGACTTCGCATGTAAAGTCGTTTCCTTGTTTATATTTAATCTTAAAGTATTATACGGTTATGTCCGCTACTTATACTTTTAGTATTGACCGAGTAAAACATTAGCCAACCATTTTAGCTCAACGTCGCTTATAAGATCTAGGCGATTATTCTACTTTATGAAAACAAAATGATAGGACAAACCTTGAAATAATTTCTTTCAAATGCTTCCCGTTTTCTGTCGATATTCGTTGAAAAAACTCAGATTCAAATACTGAGCATTTCTTTTAACGCCATGTTAGTTATTCAACTCTTTTAATGCTAACGACGCCGAATTTAAAAAAGGTAATGCACAGAAAATTACTATGAGTGGGACAGATCATTGTCTTTTGCGTAAGTAGGAAGCACGGGGTATAACGTCTCAGGTGTCTTAAATATTTGAAACACGATAATTTCGAAGACACTAAACGCCTAAAGGATTACAGGGTGCGATGTGTAAATTGTCGCCATTTTATATTTTTAATTTCGCGCATGCGCTTTGTTTGTTTTTTACTTTGTCGACTGCACAGTATGGTAGGATCAGTTGGGCAACATCTGTGAAAAAAAGTGCATCCTGACGCAATTCACTCTGCCAGAAATTTGGAAACGTCATGCTTGGCTTTCGCGACGGAAGCTCCAATACGAACATTTCAAACTTTTTGGATGTCAATCTGAGGATAGTGCAGAGGATTCCGAAAGAGTTGGATGAGTCTAACACCGAGGCCTATAGCAAATGCATTGAGGAGGTAGTGCAGCTCTGGGTCAAAAGGGTGGCCGCTGGAAGACCCTATGTCTAGCAACAGGACTCTGCACCATGACACACACAAGCAGGAGAACCCAGTTATGGCTGTCACGATTTCTGCGACCACATCACCCATTACATCTGGCCACTTAACTCCACGCACTGCAAACCACATGATTATTATGTGTAATATGGATCCATATAAGATTAACCGGGTGGAAAACAGAGAGAAGCCGGCTTATATATATATATGTGTGTGTGTGTGTGTGTGTGTGTGTGCGTGTGTGTGTGTGAACTCGCTTATATACATATATATTTATACAGATACACAGACAAAACTCTCTTTATATATATATATATATATATGTGTGTGTGTGTGTGTGTGTGTGTGTTGTGTGTGTGTGTGTGTATTGATAAAGAGAGAAAACCTCAGTAGAAAGCTTAGATTTCTTTAAATAAAGAGATAAATCTCCCATTATATTGTCAGAGGAAAAGAATTAGAAGCCGGGTTACATACATACATATATTCATACATATGAACTTTTATAGACATATATATATATATATATATATATATATATATATATATATATATATATATATAGCAGTGATACAGCGTGTAATGTTCAGAAACAGGCATAGATGTTTTCAATAAATAGATAGATGCCCTATCAGATTGACAGATAGGAAAAGAGTTAAAAGCAGGTTTCCATAAATACACATATACATATAAACTGGCTTCTATATCTTTACATACATATGTATATATAAAAGCTCTCTCTGTCATACACACACACATAAATATAACCCTAATCCAAACACACACATATATATATATATATATATATATATATATATATATATATATATATATATATATAAATAAACAAAAACTACAGACAAAAGTTCATTTTCTCCAGCAAGACATTCATTTCTATAGTTCACTGCTACCAGCAAGCAGAAATTTTTATTCTCCTGATGATGGCCATGTTGGCCGAAACTAGTCGAGGAATCTAAATGAAATAATAATAAAAACGAAAGAATATTAATATACAACCCAGTGTGTTTGAAGATTTAAATTTTTTAATATTTTTTATTGTTCAATATATATATATATATATATATATATATATATATATATACTTACATATGTACTGAAAGATAGAGAGCGGAAAGTTTGAAGTATGCATAGATGACTTTCAATAGATAGATAGATAGATAGATAGATAGATAGATAGATAGATCCATTATCAGAGTGACAGATAGGAAAATAGGTTAAAAGCATGTTTCCATAATTACACACATACATATATATTAACTCGCTGATATCATATATATATATATATATATATATATATATATATATTGTTGTATGCACATATATGTACCGATAAGGAGCGGAAATTTCAGATGTAGTATTAGATTTCTTTCAATAGATAGATGAGAACTGTCTTAAAAAGATAGAGATTGGGGGAAAAAGTCTAAGAATAGATAGCCCAGGACAGACAGACAGACAGACAGATAGATAGATAGATAGATAGATAGATAGATAGATAGATAGATAGATAGATATAGTCAATCAGATTGACAGAATGGTAAAGAATTAAAACCAGGATTACCTACATACTTATATACATTTGCATTAACTCGCTTAAATATATGTACATACATATATATATATATATGCATTTACATATATAAACATATTCACCTACACACACACAAACACACACACACACACACACATATATATATATATATATATATATATATATATATATATATATATATGTATGTATGTATATACCGATAGAGAGTGGAAAGATCAAAAGCAGGCTTAGATAGATAGATAGATAGAGAGAGAGAGAGAGAGAGAGAGAGAGAGAGAGAGAGAGAGAGTGGCTGGCACTGACATTGGCATCTGTATATCCCGTCTATATAAATAACGATTGAAGAATTCAGGTTCATCGACCCGGACATATAAAATTCACACTAATGAAGCGTTTGGACGCATGTGTGCAGACCAGCTGTCGACCCTTGCATCCATATCAAGAGAGAAAGACAATTCTTTCAGATATTTAACTTTTCTTTCGACCCCAGTCGAAAACTCTGCCCGCCAACAAAAGTCAGTCTATGAATCGGGAAGCAACAAATTCCTGTTTACAACTGTTATATTTAAAAGAAATTTTATAAAATGCAGTCCCCGAATAAAAATAAGAAAATTTTTAAAAAATGTGATGTCGGACAATTCTTTTAAAATTATCAGGTTGATCTTTTTAGAATTGAAGAATCTATTTTTTTTTTTTTTTAAATTTGTGATAAAGACCGCCCAGCTATCTCAACATACTTCCTGGGACTGGTACAAAAGAAAATTACTTACAATTATCCTGCGGCATTTCGTAAAGACTTTTGAAAAGAGTTCCATTGTGTCGGGCTTTGAAAAAGGTAGCCAATGAAAAATACTTATATCCGATATATGGAAATGATTTTTAAAGCTGACCCAGAGGTTAAGAATTCAGGAACCAAAACCAAAAGTACTTTTTATTTCGTCTATAGAGACATGAGCACCTAAACTTCCTTCCTACGCCAAGTGGCGGCGTTTCGATTACGGCCTCTAACCAAGGTCGTCGATGAATTTTCTAAGGCTTTAATCAAGTAACAAATATTCGATCTCAAGAAATATCTCCATGCGTGTGTGTAGGTACATGTATGTATGTATGTATGTATGTATGTATGTATGTATGTATGTATGTATGTATGTATGTATGCCCTCAACGTAATGTGGGTAAGCCTTTATAGATAGATAGATAGATAGATAGATAGATAGATAGATAGATAGATAGATAGATATACAAGTCTTTGATCGCTATGAAGATGAATCGATAGATAGATAGATAGATAGATAGATAGATAGATAGATAGATAGATAGACAGACAGACAGAGATGCCTTAGAAGTAGGTGTAAACAGATATGTTTTTGATCAATATGAATTAGATAAATATATAAATAAATAAACGGACAGATTGATACGACTTAGAAGTAGGTGTAAACAGATATATGTCTTTGATCAATGTGAATGAGATAGGTAGATCGATAGATAGGTAGATAGATACGACTTAGAAGGTATAAACAGATACATGTCTTTAATCAATATCAGATAGATAGATAGATAGATAGATAGATAGATAGATAGATAGATAGATAGATAGATAGATAGATAGGACTTAAAAGTATGTATAAACAGATATATGTCGTTCATCAATATGAATGAGATACATTTGATAGACAGACAGGCAGATAGATACGACTTAGAAGTAGGTGTAAAGCGATATATGTCTTTGATCAATATGAATAAGATAGATAGATAGATAGATAGATAGATAGATAGATGTTGTGATTCTCGGTGGGTCCGTCTACAAAACGATAGATAGATAGATAGATAGATAGATAGATAGATAGATAGATAGATAGATAGATAGATAGATAGATGTTGTGATTCTCGGTGGGTCAGATAGATAGATAGATAGATAGATAGATAGATAGATAGATAGATAGGACTTAGAAGTAGGTTTAAACAGACATATGTCTTATAAATATGAATGAGAAAGTGGATAACATTAAGAAAAGTGGTGTGCACAATAGTAAAGAAAGAAAGAAAGAAAGAAAGAAAGAAAGAAAGAAAGAAAAGAAAAGAAAAAATAGGAAAAGGTGAGAACGAAGAGAGACTGAAAGAAAAAGAGGATAAAACCAGCGAAAAGACGGAGAAGCAACAGAGGAGAGGGGGGTGTAGCTAATGCGTGGACAATTTCTGTAATGTATTTTAAAATCGTCGTTTTTACATATTTTTTCCCCTTTTGGATTGTCTGTTTGCAATTCCAGTGGTATTGTTTTATTCACTGTCACTCTATTCCATTTGTCAGGCTTTCACATCAAGTGTGTGTGCGACCACGCTCCCTGTACGGTGTTTGGTATGAGCAAAACGTACAACAATATTATGAAGTGTACACGAGCCGTGTTGGTGTCCGAGTGAAGGCGGGGCATATATCACTTTTTCAGTCTCCTCTATTAACAAAAACTGTTTCTCCTTTCTTTTCTAGCACCTTCCAATTTCATGGACGATGGAATGAATTTGTAAAGGACTCATATTAAGAAAATATTACTCCAAACTATAAAAACACGACGAGCGTGCTTATAATAAAATACGTCTACGTTTAAATGTTAAAGTAAAAAAAAAATGAAAAATATATTTTTAAAAAAGAAGACATCTTTTTAATATTTGTTTTAAATGCGTCTAGAAAATGGTTTACCGTTTGTTTTTGTTTTTCCTTCTCCTCCTCCTATTTTATTCTTCTTCCTTTCTCATTTTCTACCTTCACCATTCTTTTTATATTTCCCTCCCCCCCCTTCTCCCCCCCCTCTCCCTCTCCCCCTTCCTCTGTTTTCTTCCTCCTTTTTCCCTTTCTCTCACTTTACTTTATCTTCATCTCTTTCACTGACATTTCTTTTTGTCCCCCTTTCTCTGATCTTTTTCCTTCTCTCTCCCTCTGCTATCTCTTTCCCCCTTTTACTCTCTCTCTCTCTCTCTCTCTTTCTGCACGTCTCTTACTCTCTTTACTTTTTTTTCTCTCTTTCTTCGTCTTCTCTCTCTTGTTACCTTTCTCTCTGTCTTTTTTCTCTTGGACTTACTCTTCTCCCTCTCTCTCTCTCTCTCTTTCTCTCTCTCTTTCTCTTCATTCTCCCTCAGTACTTCCCGCTTTCTCTCTCACTCCGTCTTCCCCAGCGCCTTTCTCTGGTCACCTCTCTCGTTTCTTTCTCTTTTCCCTCCTCCTCCTCTTTTATAACCACTGTTGTTCCTCTCCCACTCTCTTTTTGTTTCAGTAGTTTTCTCTACCTTCTCCCTTTCTCTCTTCACCATTCCAGCTCTGCCTCTTTATTTTTTCTCTACTCTATCTCTTTTCTCTCTTTTAACTCTTTCTTTCTTTCTTTCTTTCTTTCTTTCTTTGTATTTACCTCCTCATTCTCCCTCACTGCTCTCACTTTCACTCTCTTTTATCAAATTCTTTTCCCCTTCATTTTCATTCTCTAACCTTCTCTTTCTGTATCTAATCGTATCTTTTGTCCCTCTCACTACTTGTTTGTCTTCTGAACGGCCGCTTGTACTCTTGTTTGAACATCTCGCTCTTCCATGGTATTTTTACCGATATACACATATTTGACTTAGTTTTCGTCCCCACTTAGAACTGTTTTCTGTCGCTTACTATTTTTTGTTCTGCTGTTTACTTTCAGTTTCACTTTCGATTTCAATATCAATTTACTTTTCACTTTCACTTTCGTTTAGATTTTTTTCAATTAGGTTATAATCTGAAATATCCTTGCATTGGTTCTTTTATCATTGATTTTAAATAATTATAAATTAATTTATCCATTAAAATTAATCTAAGTAAAATCTATCTTTAAAAATATCACGAAAAAAAAAAAAATTTCTGCGCCAAATAAGTTACGCGTTTATTACTACAAAAAGGTGAAAATTAATTTTTGATATATTGATTGCTTTTTACAATTTATCAACACTTTGCGGTTTTTTTAGAGCCAGAAAATATGTTTAGCTTGTAATGATAAATAATAATGATTTTCTAATAGAACCCTTACAAAACCGGGAAGAAGTGAATTCATAGATTTCGCCACGGTAATTGGAACTCGCTCACACCTATGTCCAGTTCCAAGCCGTTAACCATTATACCATTCGCATATGCAAGGTTACAGCACCTGGCAATCCCGCGCGGTCACCCATCTAGGTACTGACCAGGCTCGGCGTTGCTTAACTTCGCTTTCTAATTCCGAACCGTTATCCATTACACCACTCGCACATCCAAGCCTACAGCACCTGGCAATCCCGCGCGGTCACCCATCTAGGTACTGATCAGGCTCGGCGTTGCTTAACTTCGCTTTCTAATTCTGAACCGTTATCCATTACACCACTCGCACATCCAAGCTTACAGCACCTGGCAATCCCGCGCGGTCACACAAGCCGACCAGGTACCCACCAGGCTTGACGTTGCTTAACTTCGCTGATCGTACGAGGTCCGGTATTTCAACGAGGTATGACCGTACTTTTAGTACACTCACAGATAGATCTTCCTATAAAGTCATCAAATAACCGGGGTCTTATTAGAAAACAAAATCCTAATTAATGATTAAGTGAAACTACGCACTAACGATTGTGCCGTTTTGTGGGCACGGCTTGATGTGACATTGATATGACGTATTATTCCCACTTTTCTTTATTCCCGCCACTGCACATTCCAGTCTGATCATATCTATCTATCTGAATACGATCATCTAGCACAACCGGCTCATGTGTCTCCGTCGTCGGTTATATATATATATATATATATATATATATATATATATATATATATATATATATATATGGTTGGATAGATGTGAGTTTGTGACCCTGGACGATCGCAAAACCGTGAAACCCAGGATCACAAACTCACATCAATCCAACTAAATATGTTAGCTCTATCTCTGATATTGAGCGCTTTCTAATAAGTACCGCGCATATAATATATAAATAATATATATATATATATATTTATTTATATTTATATACACTTTTCACATATATATATATATATAATTATTTTTAAATAAGTAATTATATATATATATATATATATATATATATATATATATATATACATATAATTATCTATTTAAAAAATATTTTTAAATAAATAATTATATTTATGCTATACTTTTGTATCGAGCACTATTTTTTAAAAAATAATAACAAAAATACTAAAGAACTTTGGATTATTTACCTAACGAGT